AAATTTTTTTGCATTTTTACAATGGCAGATTAATTACACACAAATGCTCTTCCTCTCAGTATATTCGCAAACGACAATAATTGCAAAGCTAAGTTGCAAATAATTTTACCAGACACGGATATGACACAAGTTATGCAGATTGCGGTATAACTGTGCTTTAATCATATAGTGCAGAGATACCAATTATAACAGTAGATTGCGTCTGAGAGCTCTGAAGCTATATACAAAGGATGACAAAAAGGCTCAATAACTGCATTATATTGAAATAAAATAATTTATTGCTGTTATTTTTGCATATTATTATGCCATCTAATACACATTGTACAGAGATTATTAGTAAATTTTTATTTTATTTTATGGTCTTGCTGCACTTTACGTTCAAGTCAATATTTTAAACAATATTTGTTGCTAAGTAATTAAGAAATAACAGCTATAAAATTGCTCAATAAATATAATAATATGAAATTGATATATTTTACTATTTTTTTAGATGTGATAGATCCGCGAATGAAATAGTCTGATGGACAATACAAATTGGGTAATCCGGTCATCACCGGTAAGTGATTTACATATTTTATTACGTTATCGACTTTATCTTTTATAGCCCAATATTAATTCAGTAAATAAATGTTCAATATTTTTATGTAATGCTCTTAACCTATACTCATATCTTTAAAAAAACTTTATAATGAACTTTGAAAAGATATCTTCCAAGACTTAAAAAAAAATTTTTTACACAGAAATTTTAAGTTTAATTTGAAAATTATAAAAATACAATTTATTGTATTAGAGAGAAAAAAATGCATTGTAATTTTAATTGTATACATTAGTATTATTATTAATACTAAAATATTTATAGTTTGTTTAAAATTAAACTATTACTTATTAACTATCATTTTTAAAAAAATTTTCGACCGAATGAGAGCATTTATCTTTTGTTGAATCAATTCTACCGTATAAAACGCACATGCAATAATCGAGAAAATGGTGGGATAGGGTAAATGAAGTGAACGCATTACGAGATATATAATATAATTCTACAATATTACCATAATACGTGTTCCATTTATTAAATTGGAGATATAATACACAAGCGATAGATAACACGTATGTATAATTTATACAATATTTTATACAGATTGTCTCTACCTCTTCAATTAACAATTTACCTAGGTTTACTGTACAGCAATGTGTTTTGTCGGATACTCGATAGACGTTACAAGAGACTTAGGATGCACTTTAGGAAACGATCGCTCGATTAATCGCAGCGCGCGAAGTAGCGAAGTGTTCTTTTTTTGGTCTGTGTTTAGAAACATTTCCATCTCGGCCCTTTGAATTCCGGGCCCTGCCCATTGCTGAATCTTTCTGAACACAGTAATTAACACGCTTATGAAAGTTAACGCTTATCGTATTCTTACCGCACGTTTGCCTAAAGATGGCAGTCTAATTCTAATCTTGCGTTTACATAATGCAATTTTATCTCTCTCTTTCCTTATTTTATGATATGAAATCTTTTAATTTAATATAACAAATTTAAATAAAAATTTTTTAAAATATGATTTGAGGTCTAATATTCAGTCACTATAAAAGCATTATTCACAAAATACGTATACAATTGTGATAAATATACACGAATAAAATAATACCTTTATATTTATTATACTTTGAGGTCTTGGTGTAACTATTGAAGCATATTATAAAATTTTGTATCAGTTTTAGATCATAAACTAAAGTTTGCTTTATTAAAATACCATTTTTATGTTAGACGAATAAAAGGCAGGATCAAACAACCACATTGAGCGCTAACCTGCGGCAAGAATACAGAAGGTTCGTTTCTTTTTAGTTACACTCTCTTTCTCTCTCTCTGCATTTTACTTTCCTCTTTCTCTCTCCACAAGTCTGAATATACACCTACCTCATTTTAAATGCAGAATATGTAAGAAGGTGCAACTAAAAAAAACAGAGCCGGAGTTTACGAGTTTAGACGCACGCCACGTGCGATTTATTTGTGTGTGTATACGCTATATTCTCCTATTCCTCTGCGTTTTATTTTAGTCTACAATAGACGATATCTACTTACTTCACTTACGCGTCTATACCAAACGCCGTATTAAATACGTTAGATATCACATTCACGTTTATCGTTTATCTACATAATATACAAAGTCCATTTTTTTTGCGCGATTTGTTGCCGCTCTCGTAATTCGCCGCGTGTCGACGCGCATTCGCACGAAAGTATTCGCGAGATTCACGTGTAATTTTTTCCTCGCGATTATTTCTCGGATACTTTTACGATCGATTTACCGTAATTTGCAGAGAAACAAACGATAAAAAGTCTTCATTTCTTGCAACTGGCAGTTTTGGCAATAAATAAATATACGTGCGTACGAATACGTGCGCAAAAACTAAAATCGTACAAAAATAAAAATCATAATCATATAAACTCATCAATTATATAACAATTTTCAACTTTAGTGAGGCAAGAAAAGGCTTTTAGTCATTTTTGCGTAATTTTTTCGTAGAAAAATTAATATCCTTCTCCGGAGACTGTTTTAATATAAATGATTCATAACCGATCTTTTTCTCATCGATAACGGAAAGGGAAACGGAACAATTTCTCGCTGTGTTATTTTATAATAATAATATATGTGCACTTTGTCGAAGACTATCAATTCAGTAAGGTTGAATAAATTATCGGTTTGCGTTATTGGCACTGTGATCTTAGTTCAACGTACGAACAGGAAACGAAAAAATTAATAGAAGGGTGTTTTTAATTTTTATAAATCACAATGTGTTATTAAACAGCATACATAAATATAAAGCCAAAATTAAATCAGCACTATTTTATCGATTTGATTTTTTATCTGTGAATGACACTTGAACAAAATTCTTCGCTGTGAAACAACCAACCAATGCTGCACATTTTATCGCGCATAAAATAATTCCACAGCTCTTTTAATCCAACATTCACATTTATTCAACCCAGAGAATAAGTTTTCCGCGCCATTTTCCCGATGATAGTCGACTAGTTAGAAGGACGTACAGATTGCCAGGCCCTTGGATTTATGGTTATCCATTAACACCTCCTTGACGGGGCTGACGTTACGTCGCGTGCGTTGTTTGCCATATTTGCCGTGCGTTGTTTGTCGGATGGATAACAAAGCCCCAGCGACTAATCTGCCATCGCGTAAGCAGCTCGGCAAACCCTTCCTATCGATTCCTCCGTATGCTCTCACAGCGACTAAATATGCATACGCGATCGAGAGATTTTGGGGACGGCAACGCGTCGCGTCCCAGAAGGTGTTAACGATATTTGGGTGTCGTCATATTTTCCCGACAAGCACGATGCGTAATTAGAGCGACAAAGTTGTCGCGCGATTTTACCGTTTAAGTCGATTTTGATTCGGTAATTATAAATATATATAATTCAGGCCTTTATATTCCGATAATATGAACTGAAACAAATTTATAATCGTAACGTTACTTCCGCGATAATCTTGCACGTGTGAAATAAGTTGAGACAATTAAATAGTAATGTTAAATGCGACACATTTTCCTAATAGCCAATTCTGATTACGTCAAAGGCGCATTTAGCATGCGGTAAGTTTGTATTTATCTCTCGGAGCAAGATAGTCATGAAGTATTACCGTACTCGCACAGAAGTAAGCCCACTTTATGATAATAAATTGGTATTACGATTACTCGCGATTAATTAAAGTTTCCCCGGGTCGATAAACGTGCAATTGCTTGCAGGACGATCGCGTCTGATTCGTGGCTCAATCTGATTGAGCGACACTTTAGAATTTCGGGATCAACGTTTGATCGTGAACCCAGCGATGAATCGGTAGTCTTTATCGATGCTTTCGAATTGTCATATCGATTACTGAGATCAGTTCGACAACGAGACGTAGTTTGGATTCGAATGGCCGCCAAGTCATTCTGTCAGATAGCAGGTTTACGGTGGATTGAATTTTTTATTCAATCGGAAAATTTTGTTCGAAAAATATGTTTATTTCTTTAATCGTGATTATTGCTCACGATACCGAGATTTTTCAGAATTAATTGGAGAAAAAAAAAATAATATGTTGCTTTATACATTAATTTGTACACAGTTGAATTTCAAATAATAATTATTGGTTTGCGTTTGTCTAAATAAAATCGTTAAAATTCTTAAACACTTACAAACTTGCCATCGAGAAAAATAGCGCCCATTCGTAACAGTTCGAAGTGAATGAAGTCAGAGAATTGGATCCAAAATTATGGCAAGTACCATAAAAGTCGATCAGCTTCAAGAAACCATGATTCTTGATTATATTATATCGGCGCGGTTTGCAACCAATTCTCGACAATATCGCGAAACACTTATGTCTCGAAATACGATATCAGGTGTTTCCTACAAATCGCGCGTTTTCTCTCGGCTACAAATTATTCAATAACTTTGAAAAATCGATTTTTTCCCCTCAGAAAAGATTAGGCAATGATAAACTTCTAATTGAAACTTTATTCAGGTAAAAAATCCATGATGAAATTAATTCAAAAATAAATCTCTTGCATTTCATCGTAAATCTTACTTTTCACTTATAACTCAATAAGAATTGACTCCGCGGAGCGTCGAAATTCTCAAATCTGCGTGCGCTCTCTATGAAGAATTTCGAATCGTCTCCTACTTCTCGCTGTCCGGAGAAGACGCGCGACTTCCCGGACATCCCGTACGTCACTCGCGATGCCGCGTTAAGCGTCCGGCTAAATCACGAAGAAAGACACGCGGATACACATCCACGTATATACGTTTGCTTTTTTCCCTTTTTCCATCTCTCTCTCCTTTAGTCGTTCCGCGATCATTTCCGAGCCGACACGCGCGCTGTTCTCCGAACAAGCCGCGAGAAACCGTCCGGAACGCGCCGCCCCGGGCCACGCCTTATCCGTCTCCTCCGCATCCCTCTTTCCCTTTTTTCCGCGCCCCCCGCCGTGTCCCCGGGGCCACCCCCGAGCGGCGGCTCTCAATGCCTGTACTGCTGCTCGAGCTCCCTTCGCACCTCTTCGCGGCGGTCTCGCCGCCGCCGCCACCGCCGCCGCCACCGCCGCCGCCGCCGCCGCTACCGCCGCCGTCGGTCTCCGCGTCGCTGCAGCCGTCCTCGCCCTCGGCGACGACGCCCTCAACCTCCTCTTGCCGTCGTTTTGCCGTCGCCATCTCCGCCGCGTGCTTCTTCCGCCACTTTGTCCGCCGGTTCTGGAACCACACCTGAAAATCGGAAATCGGATGCTCGCGTTAAAGATAAAATCGCGATTTTAATCGTGAAGATGTCAAGCACAATCTAGTTTGTCCACTTTTCGAAATTATAACTCGAAATACTTATCAAATATCGCTTGCACTTGTTATTTGTGAAGCAGTAAAATAAGACAATCAATCTGCGATAAATATTTCTTTGAAGAGTTAATTGATCTTGAACATCTACATGTAACTTATACTTTACGCGCAAAACGTTTTATACAATCCAACAATAATATTGATCTCTGTTACAAGAAAATTCTTGTGTAAAACTTTAGGATGACGTCATAGATTTTTTGGAATAAAACTTTTTCTCCATCAATATAAAATCCGAACGGCGAATTAGCTCCCCCGAAATAAAAATCCCTATCGCGGAACGGCCGCGGCCGACGTGAATCGAGCAGGAAATTATTGAAATTGCCGACTCCCGGAGCCGATCGACATCTTCAGCGCCGTCCGCCCGCGGAGTTCATTCAACCTTTCTCGATTAATACGCCGGCCGCAACTCTAGCGGGCGTCTATAACATTTGAATTAACGGGCAAAGGTCCCGGCGAAAATTCATCGGCGACTGGCCTCCCGCGGGGACGCGCGGAGGTCGGAAACGGCGCTAACTTAAGGTGCCCCTCCGCACCTATAAAGCTCGAGATACACAGTAGGAGTCTGTGTCCCCGCAACAATGTATTTAATTAACGTAACGGGTGTCAGGGGAGCACGGGGGAGCTTCACCGTAGCGCGATTGCACCCACAAACCACCCCCGATCCATGCCAGCGTGTGGCCCCCGCTAAACTCCTCCTCCTCCTCGTCCTCCCTCTCCCACTCCCGTTGCCGCCGCCGCCGCCACCGCCGCTCTTCCGTATCCAACCCCAATCCGCAGGCTTGTTCAATGGCCGCCAAGTCGAGAGCTTAAATTAAAGATATAAGCGTCCCGGCGAGCGAGCGCGAGCGCGAAGCGGTAAACGAATTAAAAAGTAAACGGCCGGCCGTAAAAGTTAATGGCTGTTCGGATGAAAATTAAAATACTCGAGGAATTAAGATAACGGAGAGGCAGGCGAATGGACAATCTGCAGGGATTGACTGCAAGCAAACGTCGGACGTAAAAAAGCAGTTCGGCCCGGCAACGAAAGTCCAATTTGTGTTTCATGTCGGTCTTCATGAAGGAAGAGAGAGAAAGAGAGCGGAAGAAAGGAATAAAGGGTGGAAGGAAACGAGAGATGCTAGAAAAAGATTAGGCTGCGCGTTCAACTCATTAAAGACGCTTGATAAACAAAAAATTTCTCGAATTTCTTTTCTACTTAAATTAAGTAGAAATTTATAATTATATTTTCTAAAAAATCTTTGAAAACGTTTCTTAAACATTCCTTTGAGACGTCGTATTCTTCTTTTTAAAATGTAACATATAAAAATATTAATTATAATATTTAATTATAATATCGAAAAAACAAGACTCTTAGAGTATTGTGTCAATAATGCACTGATTTGGACAACGATACGAATAGAAAATATCATATTATGCTTCAAAGTATGCGAATATTTCCTGCGGAAAAATAGATGCTTCAAACGTAGGTTTGCCTACACGTGATTGTGATCTTGCAATCGCGATAAACAAGCTCTTTCCGTCCACGAGAATTCGCAATTTCTGAGATATCATTCAATGGATCGGAGAAACTGTGTGTGTATGTGAGGACAATCAAAATTGATGCTAAGTTTACCGAACTCTCCCTCGGAATCGTGCGAGCCGACCTAGTTTCTCTCTATTAGTACCGACCCTGTTTACTTTACTAAAACAAACTTTAAAGACGATAAAGCCTGTACTTAACCCTTTAATAAATCCAAACGCGACATCTTATTTTTGCAGAAACACAGGTACTACATTTTGTCAAACTTATTACATTCTTCGTTTGAAATATATTAATCGCTGAAACATTATTGCAATCGCTTGATATTACTCGTCAATGATATTTGTAATTTATAATTATTTTGTTTCTTGTTGCTTTCAACGAAATTATATTTATACAATTTTCTGTCTAGAAACATGTATCCTGAGAAAACATTCTGTTAAAAAACTCTAATAATATTCTAATAACATCATATAAATATAATATTAATAACATTATATAAATTGTTAGATGAGAAAAGATGTAAATTTTTTGATTAATTTAATTTTGTTGATTAAAATTGGAAGGTTAGTTATTTGCAGTTTTGGCTGGTCCTTTTCGATAGAACGATAAAAACCCGATTTGGGGTGCAACTGCAAAGCCTCTTCGATCGTTATTCTGAAAATTGTCGTATCTGATACAGTGCGAAAATGTAAATGCAAAGAAAGTCCTGGCCGGGGATTCATCTATCTTGTTTTTGAACGCATTAGTCACGCGCACGTTGCGAAACGGGGGCGGGAAACTGGCGGTTGTCGTTCCTTCTCCCTTCGGTCCCCTCGTCAACAGCGCTGCGCGTCGTCTCACAACTGTTCGATTTATTAAATCAGGATTATCTAAGCCCATTACTTTGTTCCGCGAAGAGCTAGATACAAAACCGCATTTGTAACTCGCGTAAAGCCCTTAGGGCGGGTCCGCAGAGAGCGGCACTGATTTTCGCGGTCGTCCACCTACCCTCCTCGTCCCCCCTTCCCCCCCCCCGTTTGTAACAGATAATACCGATAGCATCTGATCTCGCCGTTGATATCGCCGCCGGGACAATTTATTATGCGAAAGATTACGGGCCGTGTGACTCAGTTCTCGCTCTCGGGGGGGGCGACAACATTTGCGCGAGTAACTTCTCGCTCGAATCAAAATTGTGATAAGACCACCGCGAATCTAAATAAGTGTTGAAAACTAACGCATAAATATTGCACTTTTGATCGAATTGTTTCAGCATATATAAAATATAATATTTGGCGTCAAGAATTCTTTTCTGTCAATTATTTTTGAGAAAAGTATATTAATTCGAAGAAGCTCATATACGATTTTGAAATAAAAATTAGCGAAACAAAGGACTAAGAGAACTGCAGAAAACGTGCCGAATATGGATGCGTTCATTAAAATTGTTCAAATGTTTCGGTCTGGCATCAACCATTCTCAATAAAATTTAACAATAATCATAAATAGACTAAACACTTAAAAATATAATTTTTTTAAATATAAAGAAATATATTATTGAATAATCAGGGAAATTGCTGCACTTGAAAAATCTTTATCATAAAGCATGATATCGATAAAAACATTTTTTAAACGGTTGGTTTCGAAAAAATGTAATTTTCATACGACAATCGATTCCAGGGTATTGCTATGTAACGAAGATAGATAGACAAGCGGGAAAGTTCATAAGTATAAACATAGGAAGCTAGAGAATAAAGAAGGAATAAAAGAAAATTAATGGCAGACATACAAGAGAACCGGAATAAAAAAAAGCAAGAAGTGTAAAACGCAAAATTTAGGTGCGGAAAAAATCGCAGAAAAGGATAAAAAAGAAACAGAAAGAGATAGAAATGAACGACAAGAGATATTTTGTGAAAAGAGAAACGCGAGAAAGGGGCAAATTAAGGGGTGACAGACATTGAGAGAAATAAAGGAAGAGAGAGAGAGAAAGAGATGGAGGAACTGTGTATGCATGGAAACGGATTTCAATGTAAATGCGTGGAAAGGAAAGGAAACTGCGGATTGCATTTGCAAAATACTCTCCTTTTCTCCCTCATTCAAGGTGCATATTCGTTCTAGCATCATCGATGCTTCTGACAGTTCTAATTAGAAAAAAGGTTTATGTTATTTCGATATGCCTTTTATCGTCATTTTTACGAGATACAGCTTGTAAAGTTGTTTCTAAACTCTAATAAATAAATAAGATGCTAAACAAACGCAAAACATGTCTGATAAATTTATAAAACAATATTGTTTTTTTTATTAGTGAAAATTTTAAATAGCACATTCTATGAAACGCACGAATTAATAATAGATAGTAGAAAAGTAAAAGCAAAGATTATATATATATATATATATATAAACAAACTTATCGATAAGTTAAAAAGAAATAAAATGAAAAATATTTAAACATTTTTTGTGATATTTAAAAATAATTTAACAATGTATGTGAAGATTGTTGATTTTTTTATAATTATAAACTAATATCAAATTATATTAAATCGTTATTAAAGTTTATTTAGCGATTTATGATGAAATACAATTTTATACGAGAAAATGACATTGCCAATAAATGACAATTCGGAATAATGAATGATATCTCGCTTGCGAAAAGCATATCGCGTGCAAATGGAGCACTTAGCGTTCCGAAGAACTCTGGATAACGCTGATTGCCAAAAAGTCAATTAATCGGAAGCGTAGCCAGAAATATGACGAAAACTTCCGCTCCGATTGAATTATATCGTGTATTAAGAGAATGACAAATGGATCGACGTGCACAAAAGAAATACAAGAAACACGAGAGGCATATCATATTTTCTACATATTTCTTCTGCATTTGGAATGTATTATTCTCAATAGCTTGGCATGCTTTTCTATTAGCTTGTGCTAGTATTACTGACTCGTGCATTGCATACAAAGTATTCATATTTAATATCTTTATTCATAAAAAAAAAAAAATAAATGCACGTTCTAATCTTTTTTTGCTCATACTTATGCTTAACTCTTTTAATAACTCTTTCATATCTCACATATAATCTAGTTATTTAATTAAAGATAAACAATCAAAAGTTAGTTTTGTTTTAGTTTGTATAATAATTAATTAATAAATTCTAAAAGATTTTATCTTATTTTATATTTCATACAAGCAACATGCTCCAGAAATACTGTCGATAAAACTGATATTCAATTTGTGTCAATTTTCTATTATCAAGAGATCACGTTGTCGTCAAGTGGCACATACGGTTCGGCGATCGATCCTGTCATCCCGAGATACATGAAATCAACCATCACCATCGTCGTCGTGTCGACGAGGGAACATAACTCTCGTAACTTTTTCTAA